TCTAGGCAGGTGCTCTACCACTGAGCCACACCTCAGCTCCTTACTGGGGAATTCTAGGCAGGGTATCTACCACTGAGCCACACTCCAGCCCCTTACTGGGGTATTCTAGGCAGGTGCTCTCTCACTGAGCCACACCCTCAGCCCCTCACAGGGGGATTGAAGGTAGGCACTCTAACCATGGTTCTACAGAACTGGTTCCTGTTGTGTTTATCTATTTGTCTTTATCTATCTGTCTGTCTGTCTGTCTATCTATCTATCTATCTATCTATCTATCTATCTATCTATCTAATAGCATCTCACAAAGTTATACAGGCCAGCCTTGAAGCCTCTCTACAGGGAAGGCTGGCCTTGAACTTGTGTCATGTCTCAATGTCCTGAGTGCTGAGATGACAGGCCTGTACCATCCTACCTGGTACTCATTTGCTTTTGCCTGCTTAGAGAAATCTAATGGATGCTAGATAGGGATCCTGGGAGGAGCTAGCTTCTCGCTTTCTGATTGCGAGGGCACTTTCTATCCAGTTTCTAGAATTCTCCTTACCTGCTCCAGCCCCAAATCCTGGGACACCAGCACCAGCCCCAAATCCTGGGACACCAGCACCAGCCCCAAATCCGGGGACACCAGCCCCAACTCCAAATCCGGGGACACCGGCCCCAAGCCCGGCCGCAGCCCCTGCAGAGAGGAAAGTAGTAAGTACTTAGAACTAGAGGGCATGTTGTCCCTGTGGAGGTGCCCTACCTTAGGAGCTGAGCCAGGCCCCACAGAAAGGGGCTCCCAAGAGAGCAACAACCCCCCCCCCCCCGCTTCGTCCTCATCTGCTGACTCACCCCAGAGTCCTTGTTTTTGAGACAGGATCTCATTATGTTGCCTTGGCTGGCCTGGAACTATATATAGACCAGGCTGGCATCGAACTTACAGAGATCTGCCTGCCTCTGCTTCTTGAGTGCTGGGATTAGAGGCATGTACTACCACCCAGTGTTTGGAGGAATCTATTTCCTCTCATGTAGCCCAGGTTGGACTTGAACTAAAGGTGCTCTTGAATTTCTGGTCCTTTTGCCTCTATCTCATAGGTGCTGGGAGGGGTTAACAGGCATGCACCACCATGCCTGGTTTATGCGGTGCTAGGGATGGAAGCCAGAGCTTCGTCATGCTAGGCAAGTGCTCTACCTCCAGAGCCACATCCCCACCCTCACCCTCTTAAATTCACACTTTCTGTGTGCAGTCTTGCCATGACTCCCACACTTGATGCAGAAGCTAAAGGAAGTCACTCAGCTATCTTGGGAATGTAGACTTGAAGCCAGGTCTCCCTCTTGCTGGATGTGTACTTCTGAGCCCTGTGCTAGGAGCCACGGGGACCTACAGATGGTAAGATCTGAGAGGCTGCTTCCTGTGGCTGGGCTGGGGCTGTGTGTCCTGGCCAGTGGATGGGGGAAGGAGAAGAAGGGTCATGGTGCACTCACTGTACTGGGCTTTGGCGGCTGCCTTAGCAGCAGATTTGGCCGCAGCTGGCGTCCCTGCTCCTGAAGAGAGAGGAAGGACATTCAAGATGGCATCCATGGAGGCTCCAGGGAACCCCCAGACCCACTCATCCACAGTAACTTACCTCCAATACCACCAGGTACAATGCCAGTGCCAGGACCAGCTCCAATACCAGTAACACCACCAGGGCCAACTCCGCCGGGAACCCCACCAACACCAACTCCACCAGGAACCCCACCAACACCAGGGACCAAACCTGCAAGAGAAGGAATAGCTTATCTATAATCAAGGCCCCAAAAGAGGGTAGGAGCTGATGAAATTCAGGTGCTACAAGTCAGGTGCTGTGGGTTCTCTTCCCGGCCCCGGCAAAGACTGTTTCATCTTGCGGCAGATATTGTCCCTTCCTGAGCATCTCTTTGTTGCTATATAATGAGTCAGATGTAAATTTATTAATTTGTAACCTTTTGAGGAACAGGGAGACATTGGAGGCTTACTTGAGGATGATGGAGGACAAGCAGTTTTGGTTTTTGTTGTCTTTTACTTTTTTCTTTTTCACTACTAGAGAATAAATGGGAGACCTTGAACATGCTAGCCAAGTGTTCTAACACTGATCTACATTTCCAGTCCTTCACTGAGGGATTCTAGGCAGTTGCTCTGCCACTGAGCTACACCCCGAGCCCTTTACTGGGGGATTCTAGGCAGGAAGTTCCACTGCTGATGGTGAATCAGTTCCAGATTTTTTCATCATCATCATCAACTTTGGTCTCACTAAATTTCTCAGGCTGACCTTGAACTTCCAATGCCCTTGCCTTAGCTCCTTGAGTAGCTGAGATCACAAGTCAGTACCATCAGCTTCCAAATCCGTTAAGGCCAAGTCTCACCAACGCCCCAGCCTATGACTGGACCCTAGCTGAGCTCCTATAAGTGGAGCGTCCACCATTAAGCATATTTGGGGTTAATCATATTTAGGAAATTCCTGGGGCTACTGAGGGTGACCTTGACATCTACCAAGAGGAGGCAAGAGGAATGCAGCACCTCTGGGGGATTAGGCTGGACTCTATCTTGAGATTCAGAAGAGGACCAGCCCTAGTTGGACTTGGGGAACCAGGAGCTTTCGGAAGCAGAATGGGGCAAGGACATGGAGGGGTTGGCAGACCCACACTGCTAAAGGGGAGCAAGTGAGCTAAAATCTATAAGAACATCCTACTCAGGAATGTAGCTTAGATGTAGAGCGCTCACCTAGCACACAGGAAGTCCTGAGTTCTATCCCCCCAGCCCTGCAGAACAAAGCATGGTGGTGCATGCCTGAAATCCCGGGAGGTGAGAAGTGGAGGCAGGAGGAACAGGAGTTCAAGGTTGCCTTAGCTCCCCAGAAGCAGGCGTGAGAAGGCTATGGTCTGGAGTCAATGGTCAGGTACAGATGGGGACAGCTTACCATACTGGGCTGCTTTGGCAGCTGCTTTGGCGGCGGCGGCAGCAGCTGCAGGGGTTCCTGCTCCTATTTAGATAAAGAGAGCACAGGATGATCCTCAATACTCCTCCTTGTTCTTACTCACCACTTCCAGAGTCTGCCCAAGAGTATCCCACCCTGGAGACAGGGAGGGGTGCTGAGGTGGGTGGCCTGGGCTCCAGGCATAGTGCTGCTGACGCCCCATGCAGGGCACCAGGACACAGCCCTGCTTTCCTTGGACTCCAGCAAGGAGCTGAGAGGCAGCTCTGAATCCATGGGATTTCAGCATTTACTTAGAATGCTCTTAAGTTAAAAAAAAAATCTAGTAGCATCTGTATCCCAAGCTATCATAGAAAATGAGCCCTTCCTCATCTTTTTTTCTTCTTCATCAAAACAGGGTTTCTCTGTCCTAGAACTCTCTCTGTAGACCAGGTTGGCCTCAAACTCAGATCTGCCTACCTCTGCCTCCAGAGTGCTAGGATTAAAGGTATGCCTACCACTGCCTGGCTTTTTTTTTTTTTTTTTTTCTTCTTTAAACACATTTATATATAGTCACACATGTTTTGTTGAGGATTTAACTAAGGATTGAATATACATATCTGTTTTGGAAATTTGATTTCTGAGAGGTTTTTATTTATTTTTTTCTTTTCTATACATGAGTACAGGAATTACACATCCTTATCTTCTTTCTGGTTCCACATTGTATTTTTAAGCAGGGTCTCTCCTTGAACCCAGAGCTTGCTGTTTTAGCTTTTCTAGATAGTTAGCTTACTCTGGGTATTTCCTGGATGTACCTCTTGTATCCCAAGAGAACAGGCTGGCTGTCATGTTCACTGGCTTTATGTGGGTTCTGGGGGTTCAGCCTCGGCTCCTTAAACTTGTTGCAATGCAGATGCTCATCTCTCTGCACCATCTCCTAAGCACCCTCTCTCTTTCTCTTTTTAAAATTCACCTTTATTTATTTTTCTGTGTGTGCGCATGCTCGTATGTCCCCCAGCACACATATGGGTGCCAGAAGATAACCCGTGGGAGTCATCTCTGTCATTCCAACATGTGGGGTTTCAGGATTCAAACTCAGTTTGTGAGGCTTGGCCACAAGTGCCTTTCCCCACTGAGAGCCCCCTTCATTCTTTGCAATACCGGGAATGAATCCAGGCTCTTTTGTATGTCCAGCGAGCACTCCACCACTCAGCCACACTTCCAGCCCTAGCTCCTTTCTGAAAAGCATACAGGAGGGAAGTTTTATCCTGGGGGGGGGGTGGATTATGCAGAAGAGAAATTGGAAAAGCAACAACTAAGAAGGCTGTCTTTGAATGCCATGGTCTTTTAATCATCTCCCTTTGATCTCTGCTTGGTGGATGAGAAAGGCCGTGACACCTGAGTCTTCGGTTGGTAAGGAACTAGAAACGTCCCAGAGTAAAAGGCAGATCATGGCTGTCTCACACACAACTGTGGAGTCTCCCCGGCCAGGGAGAGGCTTTCCAGGGTCAACAACCAGGGTCCTACAGAGGCTCCTCCCCACTTTCTACCTTAGGGAAAACTGTCCCCACTTCCCCACTCAGCTCTGGGGTCACTTTTCCTATCTGTGAAATGCCAAGCCCCAAGCCTCTTTTATGAGACAATACAAACCCATCTCAGCATGGGGAACACAGCTCACCTGGCACTCCACCTGGCACACCTGGTATTGCTCCTGGCACTGCACCTGGCACTGCACCTGGCACAAGGCCTCCCAGGGCTCCAGCTCCTCCAGCACCTGGAAGAGAGAATGAACCGAAGTGCTCACCTCATCCATCCATCCATGCATCCGTCCATCCGTCCATCCATCCATCCATCCGTCCGTCCATCCATCTTCCACCACTCACTCACCCACATGTATACATATGTGTATGTATGGATAAGTGGAGGGGGAGGCGGGACACAGGATTGTCAAGCATCTTCAGCTCACTCTTTTGGAGTGAGCTGGTAAAGAGGTACCAATAATCTTAACGGCAAGTGGAAATGGTGGAAGAGTTGAGGAGGCTTAGAAGACGGATGGGGACTGTGGATTTGCATCTTTCCCCTGGAAGCCCAGTGTGAGGCTGCTCTGCCCTTGCTCAGAGTGTAGGCTCCACAGAGAGCCTGTCATTAGACAGGGCAAAGTCACTCACCATATTTGGCAGCTTTGGCGGCAGCAGCAGCCGCTGCTTGGCTTGCACCTGCAAGAAGAGAAGCACAGATGGGTACAGGGATAGAAGAGCCAATAGAATGGGAGGTGGGAGGCAGGGGATCAGGCAGACAGAGGAGTAGGTAAGTGGTTAGAAAGATGGGTGAAGGAGTGGGAAAGTTGGGTGATGGACAGATAGGTAAATGGATGGATATACAGATGGACAGATAAACGGATGGATACACAGATGGCTGGATAGATGTATGCATATATCTATATCTATCTATCTATCTATCTATCTATCTATCTATCTGTAGATATGTGGATGAATAGGAGATGGATGATACACGGATGTCTGGAAAAATGAGGTGTCGAGGTGAATGGATAAATGGATAATTAGGCAATAGATTAATGAGTAGTTGGGTGGATAAATAAAAGAATGGATGGATAATAGATTGATAGATGGTTGGATAGATGTATGGACAGTAGATTAATGGATGGATCAATAGATAGATGGAGAAATGGATGGATGGGTGGTCTTTTGCTGGATTGCTGCTGAGCAAGAATCACAGCTTTCCCTGCTCCTAAATGCTACAAAGATTGCTTCTCTCTTCCTTGCTGCACTAAAGCCCACATCCACTCTCCAACTCCCTTCATGACTTGAAACCCCCACTTCTTCCTCCCCAGCTTCCCAGAAATGGAACTGAAGCTCCCAGGGAAGGATACCTCCGAGTCCGGCTCCAAGTCCGGCTCCAAGTCCGGCTCCGGCTCCAACTCCATAGCCAGGAAAGCCCCCAGCACCAACGCCATATGTTGGAATGCCAACTCCACCCCTGGCTCCTGTGGAGGAGAGAGAATCCAGTGAAAAGAGACTCCAGTGAGCTGAGCAAGCTCATTGGCTAGGAGAAGGATGTTGGTCCTTGAGGATGGGAAACTGGGATTCCTAGGGTCCTTGACTAGTCTCCTCTATGAAACTTGGGTCTTCCCTGGTTTTCTTTCCGGGTATTTGGGGGGAGCATCCCTTTGTTATGGAGAAGTGAGTGGGCTTACTCTAACCAGCTTTCTGTCCTTCGAGTAGGGGTACTCTCTAGACTGGGCTGCCATCCTTGGGTGGTCCCACCACTCAGCAACATGGCTTCATGGTGGGACACACTTGGAGAGACACTGTCCTGGGATCCAGTGGTCCAAGCAGCTCTGCCTGGGGCTCTCCCTGGGTAAGTGGCCCCCCTTGAGCATTAGGGTGAAGGGCTTTCCATTCTGGCAAGTGGAAGCCAGAAGAGGGTGGACAGGGCACTCACCGTATTTGGCAGCTTTGGCCGCTGCTTTAGCAGCTGCAGCTGGTGACACAGCCCCTGGAGAAAACATGGGTACAAAATGCTCAGGAGAGAACGGAGGAAAGATGGCCAATGTACACCCCTCTGTCTCCCTGTCTGTTCCTTTTTTTAAAAATACCCATAGAGCTGTGATATTTGTTCATCCATCCATTCATCCTCCATCCTGTCTCTCTGGCCATCCATTTGCTGTCTGGCATTAGAGCTCAGTCTATCCACCCACTCATTAGCTCTCTGTCCATTTGTAGATTGGTGGACAGATAGGTAAGTGGATGAATGAATGTATGGATGGGTGTATGGATAGATGGAGGAGTGGAGGAATGAATGGCTAGAAACCCATCTGTCAATCATTTAGTCATCCACCCGTCATCAGCTTACCCACCCACCTGCCCATCTATCCATCAGCTTGTCTCTCAGCCTGCTTATCTGTCTATCCATCACTTTTGCTACCCACTTGTTCATGTATCCGTGGACCCATGCATGCATGCATCCTTCTCACTACTGATGCACTTCCTTCCTGCATGTCTATCTGTTTTTTTTTCATTCACTAATTCATCTTCCCAACTACTCTCAGCCCCTCCCGCCATCTATCTACCTATGGATGCACCCATTCTTCCATCTAATTCAGCTTCTGCTTACCCTTCATTTATCAGCTTAACTGCTCATCCTACCTCTGTGTCACGTCTATGATGACTTGACATTTACCAGTCCACACACCTACCCATCCATCTACCATTTACTGAGTGCCCGCTGGGCTAAGGGGTGGATGGAGTGTGGTTTCTCTGTGTGCCTGGCCCTTTAAAGGATCTGTGGTTGCTGATCAACTGGCCCTTCAAGAATTCTTAGCCAAGCCTTCTCAGTGGCACATGCCTGTAATCCCAGCACTCAAGGAGGCGGATGCAGGCTATCTCTGTGAGTTCGAGGCCAGCCTGGTCTACAAAGTGAGTCCAGGACAGCCAAGGCTACACAGAGAAATCTTGTCTCAAAAAGATGAAAAAAATTCTTAGTCATTAGAACTGCTTGACCCTATGACCTTCAGTGTTGATTGCTTCTTGGATTTCTGGGAACAAGGAGAGGCTGTAAGAAAAGCCTGAAGAGGCTAAGAAAGGGAGATTGAGTAGAGAAGGGAAGGCAGCTGGGGCAGAAGAGACGGTTAGGAGCCGGCTGAGCCAGCAGAAGCTCAGCTGAGCAGACTGTTAGAACAGTCGCTGTAGTTCAGAGCTGCTAGAATCAGGAAGAATGGGGAAGAACTGCTGGGGAACTGAGGGAGAAGCTTTCCAGAGAAATGTTTGAAGGCTGGTCTGAGGACTGGGAGGGATGGCTTGGAAGAAAATTAGATTCAGGGATCTCTCTCCTCTATCCTTCTTTCTCTCTTATCTAGTGTTAGGGGTGAAACCCGGGATAAAGGGTGGAAAAAAGGGAGGGCATTAGGTTTGGCCAAGAGCATGTACACATGAATGAGGTTTTAGGGAGCACCCAAAGTCTTGGCAATAGTCTCTATTGCTTACACACACACACACACACACACACACACACACACGCACACGCACACGCACACGCACACGCACACGCACACATGCACGCAAAGCCCAACTCACCTGGTCCACCTGCAATGCCTGGAACTCCGATACCAGGGCCTCCAACACCTGGGATGCCCCCAACACCTGGGATGCCCCCAACACCTGGGATGCCCCCAACACCTGGGATGCCCCCAACACCTGGGATGCCTCCAACACCTGGAATACCACCAACACCTGGGACCCCAACACCTGGGATTCCAGCACCTGGGACTCTAACTCCGGGTCCACCAGGCACAGCTCCTGTAGATGGAAAGAGGATCTGAACTCAGCCTTGTGGGACTTCTGCAGGCCTCCCAGGGCAGATATACAGGTCAGCTTTGGGGACCACAGTCTGTCTTGAGTGCAGGATCACATGCAGATGTGCTGGTGATTTCTCTACAAGGATCCAACTCACCAGGGAACAGGGGATGAACTAAGATGGAGTCCAAAGAGACCTCTAGTTTGGAGGTATATAGCTGAGAAGAGCATGATCAGTTCTAAAGCAGAATCAAAATGTTTGCTGTGGGCCCCTAGGCTATGGGTTTTCTTTTGTTTATTCATTTGTATGTTTTTTTAAATTATGTTTTAATTTGCAGTACTGGGAATTGAAACCAAGATTTTGCACATGCTACCACTCTGCCACTGAGCCATACCCCAGCCCCTCACTGGGGGATTCTAGGCAGGTGCTCACCACTGAGCCACACCCCAGCCCCTCACTGGGGGACTCTAGGCAGGTGCTAGATGGCAGCATCCCTTCCCCTGCAAAGTCTGTACAGAATAGGAGCTACCTTCCAGATAGAGTGGCCAGGATGGGGGGAAGGTCAGAGGTGTCCCTAGATGAGTGGTTCTCAACCTTCCTAATGCTGGGACTCTTTAAAGCTGTTCCTCATGTTGTGGTGATTCCCAACCACTAAATTATTTTCAATGCTACTTCATAACTGTGATTTTGCTACTGTTATGATTTATAAGCTCTAAACTGTAAATCTCTGTGTTTTCTGATGGTCTTAGGTGACCCCTGTGAAAGAGTGGTTTGGCCCCACAGGGGTTGCAATGCACAGGTTGAGAACCTCTGTGCTAGGTGAACAGAGGTAAAGTCTGTCCCTCCTCGTGGATCTCCAGCATTCAGGCAGAGGCCCAGGCCTTCTGCTTCTGGGGGACACTCACCATACTTAGCAGCCTTGGCGGCAGCCTTGGCAGCAGCAGCTGCTGCAGGAGTCCCAGCACCTGGGAGACAGGCACAGAGGGTGAGGTGCTGCCCTTGGGGCCCCACCAGGACACCTCCACCCTCCAGCTCAGGGAAGCATTACCTGCAATGCCTCCAATCCCAGGAATTGCACCAGCACCACCAGGAATGCCAGCCCCTCCAACACCAGGGAGGACTCCAGCTCCTCCAGCACCTGCTGGGACAGGGGTGGCACCATGTGACTCCCTAGCACTTCTTCTGAGGAAAGGCTCCAGGGGTAAGAGCGTAAGTGTGTGTGTGCGTGTGTGTGTGTGTGTGTGCATGAGTGTACTTGCATATGTACATGTGTGTCAAGGCCAGAGGTTAACCTTTGTCCGGAACTTTGTTTCCCCCTTTCTTACATGTATGTACATGTGTGTATATGTGCATGGTTTTCCATGCACATGAGAGCACATGCATATGGGTGCTCACGCATGTGGAGGCTCAGGGTTGATGTCACAGAGTCACCCTGGCTGTTCTTCCACCTTATTCATCCAGGCCAGCCTTACTAGCCTCCCTGACCCTAAGGAATTCCCCATCTGTGCCGCCCAAGGCTGGAATTACATGTGGACCCTTACATCTGGTATTTATGCGGGTTTCCGAGCCCTGAACTCCAGTCCTCATGCGTGCAAAGCGCACCATCTTGAATCTCTGAGGCTGCCTCTCTCGCTCTTACCTGGACTGTGTGCCTAGGTAGTCTGGCTGGCCAGTGAGTCCCAGTGCCCCCGTCTCCACCACCCCAGCACCTGTCTGTTTTTATGTGGACACATAGGACTCATGTCCTCACGCTGTAGCTAGCACTGTACCAACGGAGCTATCTCCCTAGGCCCCTTCCCGCCTGCTGCTTTGTGAGACGGAGGCTCAGCTAGGTATTTCAGGCCTTGAATTTCCAGTCCTGTTGCCTCACCTCCTGGTGGGTGCTGGCTTCTTACCCACTCTCGTCTTACCTAGGAATAAACCTCAGCATCTCAGTGGGGCTTGTCTGGGAAGGTTCCTCCCCCAGTTCCTGGGTTTTCCCCCAAAGTGTGCATTCCGACACTCTCATTAAGGGAGTCCAGTGTTCACAGACAAATCCCTTTCTAATCACTGCTACATACTGAGAAACCACAAGCTCCGTTCCCTGGGCCAGAGGCCCCCAAAGGAATGCTGAAGGCTTCCTTTCCCTGTGTTCCGAAGACTCAGCCAAGTTCACAGTCCAAGCGTCTGGCTGCCCAGCTCTGGCAGCCCCTCTTTCCAGGCTCTCCAGTTCCCATATTGCAGCTACTCGCACCAATATCAGTCTGCCAAAGGGGCCTCTGCCTGGAGAAAAGCCTGGGGCCTCCACAGGGCAGGATCAGCTCCTAGAATGTCTACCCTCTGAGCTGGCAGGGGCTTCTGCTCTTCCTGACCTGGAAGTAAGAAGGCCTCCTGGGTTGGGGGCAGAAGAGAGAACTTTGGCCCTAGTGAGCTGACTTCCACGTGGAGTGGGGAGAAGATGCCCGCTCTGTCCACTGTAAGGACATGGAAGTCCCACACCACACCCTCACCACACCCTGTCCATGGCTGGGGACTGCAGGCTTGGGGAGGGGTTACTAGGGAGTGCAGGCTTGGGGAGGGGTTACTAGGGACTGCAGGCTTGGGGAGGGGTTACTAGGGACTGCAGGCTTGGGGAGGGGTTACTTTTTTCTTTTTTGTAGTACATGTGAAGGGGATGCCTAACATTGAAAACGGCTTATACAGGTACTGTCTATATTTCTTTCTCCAATCACCATGCCACCCATCCTTTATGACTGGGTGCCTCCTTCCTCTTCTGTTTTTGTTTTGAGACAGGGTCTCATGTAGCCCAGGCTAGCCTCAAACTTGCCATGTAACAAAAGATGGCCGCCAACTTCCAATCTTCCTGTCACCACCTCCCACTCAGTGTTCTTTCTGTCTGACCCACAGGGCAACCACCACCTGTATGTTGAGGTCACTTTCTCCAAGAAGCTTCTCTCATTTTCCCCATGGAGAAATAATGGCTCTCAGGGCTGTGCTCATATTCCCTGGGATAGGTGGGTAGAGAAAGGGGTGATACAAAAAGGGAAGGAAGGGTGTAGGGATGGAGGAAGAATGGGAAGGGATGGAAGGAGGCAGAGATAGAGAAGTGGGTGGAGGAGGCGGTGAATGGCCAAGATGGCTGGCTGGAGGGGTGCAGGCAGGGAAGTGCAGTTAGGGAAGCGACAGTGTGAGAGGAAGATAGGGAGGGGAGATGGATGGATAGGAGATGGGTGGAGGGAGGAGGGAAGAGAAGAAAAGCCGAATGGATGGGCTGAAGGAGGGGTGATGATGGCACAGTAAGGGAAGAATAGGGAAGGGAGGCGTGAAGGGATGGATGGAGAGAAGGGTGGATAGAGGGGTGAATGAAGGATGGATGCTGAAAGGGAGAGGTGGAGGAATGGATGGATCAGTGGAGGGCAGAATAGGGAAGGAGGGAAGTGTGGAGGGATGGACAGAGAGAAGGAGGGATAAAGGAGGGTGGAGAGAGTTGAGGAATAGAGGGGATGATGGGTGGGTAGGGTATGACAGAAGGAGGGAGGGAGGAAGGTGGGGAGGGATAGGTGACAGGTAGATGGAGGGGTAGAGGGAAGGGGAGGGAGAGCTACGCCTATGGGTCTATTGAAAAGGGGAATAAGGAGCGGACACCGAAATCACCGGCTTGTTCTTCCAACCGTCACAGGATGCGGGGCGGGGGCTGGGGGCTGGCGAGGGTCCCAGAGTGCTCACCGTACTTTGCTGCCTTAGCTGCCGCTGCCGCCTGGGATCCAACTCCTGGAAGAGGAGGGTGAGGGGACACTGAACATGGAGCTGGTGTCTCGTGATGTCCAGAGTCCCTCGCTCCCAGCCCCAAAGAGATTCAGATACAGCTGGAGGCTTCATAGCCAGGAAAGGCCAGAGACCCAGACCAGAATCCATGTGGCCCAAAGCCTTCACACAAGGTGGCTTTGTGTTTTGGATAGTCCCTTTGGGTGGAAACAGGTGAGTTTTCCCCCCTCTTACCTGTCCCCGTAGGGTAGCCGGCCTTGCCGCCTGCACCAGCCACACCTGTAACAAAGGTGCCTGGTCACTCACATAGACCTTGCCACTCTGCCCTCCCTTGTCCTACTCGTCCTGAGTCTCCCCTGTCACCTCCAACAAAAGTGAATGCAGATACAAGCATGCAGAAGGGATGACATCCCACTTTACAGACAAACACTGAGGCTTAGAAAAGAAAAAAAATGGCTTGCTTAAAGTGCTGTGATGAGCAATAGGGACACTACTGGATGCTAGCCACGCCCCCAGTGCCGGTCTTCGTCCTTTGGGACTTCTTCTTCTGGTGCCTTGCCCCCATCCCAGTCTATCTGGTCGGGCTTTGGCACCCTTGCCAGGCCCGTAGATCTGGAGAGGGTTAGAGCCCCACAAATCTGTGAGGGTGTTACTTACCATAGGGCAACTTCCCGTTGGTATATGGTAGTCCGTAGCCACCTATGGACAGGGTGAGGGATGGATGGAGTGAAGGACTGGTGTGTGGATGGACGAGGTGGGAGGGAGGGGTAGCAGGGGATCCGGGGAGATGGAGGGATGAATGTATGACGCAGGAGGAGAGGGGTGGATGGAGAGGTAAGTGGGTGGAAGGAAGAAGTGGTGAGTAGATGCATGGAGAGAAGGAGGGAAAGATGGTGAGGAATGGGCGGAGGAAGGAGTAATGGCTGGATGGGGAGAGGTGGGGCTAGACGCCTCCGTCTAGCTGACGGACAGACCTCCCCCTCACAGGTGCTGTAGCACTCTCCTGAGGCTCACTACTGATTAATTAAAATCTCTCAGGGCAGGGAGAGGACGTCCATTCCTCTCCAAACCGAGGTCCCAACATGGCCCCTGGGGTCTGAGTGCTTTGATTGTGCCCCACGGAGGGTACGGCTTTGTCTGGACTGAAGGCTGTGGTGGAGGTGACAGGGTGGCAATCGAGTGGCTAGCTAGAGACAATAGGAGTCTTTCCAGTGCCTGGTGGGTTTTCCTTTCCCCTTTCTAGTCATTTTCTCTTGGTTTTGTTCTTGTTTTGTGGTAGGGTCCCATTCTGTAGCCCCGACTGACCTCCAAGTCACTGCATGCCCCACCAGCGGCCCAGGCTGACCTTGAAATTACATAGTCCTCCTGCTTCCAGCCTCTAGAGTGCTGGGATCACACGCCTGGCTATAGTGGTCATTCTTCTATATATGTGCGTGTGCATGTGTGTGCAGGTGTGTGTGTGTGTACATGTACATGCAAAGGCTAGAAGACAACTTTGGGTGTCATTTCTCAGGAGCTGCCCATCTTGTCTCTCACTAGGACCTGGGACTGCCTAGAATGGCTGCCCGCAAGCCTTAAGGAGTCTCCTTTTCAGCAATGGGATGATTAGTGTACCCCATGATGCCTGGCTCTTTTCCTGGCTCTGGGGATTGAACCCAGGTCCTTGTACTTGTGCAGCAAACAGCTTCCTAAGTAAACCATCTCCTAGTCCTAGTCATGCTTCCCCGTGTGTGAATGGCACCAAACAAGTCCCCTTGAGGCTGATTTCCCAGCAGGAGGCTCAGCAAACCATGCCTATTATTATTATTATTACTAATTAGTGTTTGCATATGTACATACATGTGTATGTGTTTGCGTGTGTGTGTATGCATATGTGTGCCTGAATGGATACTGTTGTGTGTGTGTGTGTGTATGCACGGATACCAGTGTGTATATTCATGCCTTTGTGTGTGTGTGTGCATGGGTGCCACTGTGTGCAAGAAGAGTTCAGAGGATAATGCCGGGTGTCGGTCTTCACTTTCCACTCCTCTGAGGAAGGCTTTCCTTGCTGTTTGCTGCTGTGTACAGCAGGCTAGCCAGCCCGAAGGCGCTTAGAGGGTCTCCCGTCTGTGCTTTGCCCCGTCTCATCAGTGGAGTGCTGGGCTATAGGTCCCACTCCCGCACTCAGCTTCCAGTGGGCCCTGGGGACCTGAACTCGGGCAGCAGGTGCTTCACCCCTGAGCCATCTCCCTCAGCCCAGTCAAGCATCTTCAGCCTGGCTCCAGCTTACCTGGCAGCTTCGGTGCTTTAATGGGGTAGCCCAGCGGGACGCCAGGCTGCTGGCCCCCAAAGGGCCCGACCCCTGCAACAACAAAGACAGTAAACCAAAGTCCCAGGCCTCTCAGCTCCCTGCCGGCAAGTCTACTCTCTGTTTGGATGGATGAATTCATTTTCCATGGCCCTCCAGAATTGTTCCGCCTTTGGGAGCCTCCCTCTCTCTGTCGCGGACCAGCGAGGCACCCCCGAGTGCTAAGCCACTGACTCTAGGAGCTAAGGGAGACACTCATTTATTTTTGTGTGCAGACATTAGTGCACTCCTGGGCATCTGGGTTCATTGTGGATCCACACTGATGGAGTTTGGGTTAGGACAGTGGTTCTCAGCCTTCCTAAAGCTGCGACCCTTTAGTACAGTTCCTCATGTTGTGGTGACCCCCAACCATAAAATTTCATTGCAACTTTATTACTGCAATTTTGCCAGTGTTATGAATCGTAATGTAAATATCTGATACACAGGATATCTGATAAGTGACCCCTGTGAAAGAGTCATTTTTGACCCCAAAGGGTTGCAGCCCACAGGTTGAGAATGTCTGGGTTAGGAGATCATGGCTGGGACTGATGAAACTCTGGATAGAAGCCTGGCTTTTTCTTTCCTTTCCTTTCCTTTTCCTTCCTTCCTTCCTTCCTTCCTTCCTTCCTTCCTTCCTTCCTTCCTTCCTTCCTTCTTTCCTTTTATTTTTTGAATGTGGGTGTGGGGATTGAGCTTAGGTCCTCATAGTTGTATGGTAAATGCTTCACCAAGCCTTGTGGCGAGAGACGTGAGGGAGATGGGGCAGTTACAGATAGGTTTCCTGGTGTCTAGCCCCTGAGTGTTCTTCCATCTGCTCACTGTGGGAGGGCAGTATCAACTCACCTGGGATTCCACCAAAAGCACCACCTCCACCTGCAATGACAAAGAGCTGCCATAAGGCCCAGCCCTAAGTGTGTAGGACAGTGAGCACTGGCTCTGTCTTCCTTTGTTTATGCTGGACAAGATAGCTACCATCGAGCCACGCCCCTCACCCCTCACTGGGGGATTCTAGTCAGGTGTTCTACACTGAGCCATATCCCCAGCTCCTCCCTGGGGAATCCCAGGCAAGTGCTTTACTATTAAGCCATACCCATTAACCTTCTTCTTACTTTAATTGGAAACAGTGGCCCACTAAGCTACCGAGGTTGGCCTTGAACTTTCAAACTTTCTGCCTCAGCCTCCTGAGTAGCTTCGGATTATAGGCCTATGCCACTAGGCCAGGCTTACTCTATCAGCTTTCTGAAAAGCATGCTGCCCTTCCTAGCCCGCAGAAGCGGGGCTGGGGCATTAAAAAGTATCTCCTTATCCTGACAGAGGTTCCCAAATAAGCTTAGAATCCTACCTCCTAAACCTCAGGCCTGAGGGGCATGCAGACAGGCAGAATGTTCTACCCTAGTCCCCAGCACAGCTGGCCCTACATACCTGCAATCTTGGCCTTAACTCCTGTGCCAGTGGGAACTCCAGGGAGCACACCCACACCAGGGAACCGAGCTCCTGAGCGGCAAAGACATGGGTAACAGTGAGGGAATAGAAACTCTGCTTGTCACCCTCTTGACAACCTTAGGTTCATTGACCCAATCTATTTCAGTACTGATGGCCAATCACAAGCATGACTCACAGGGCAAGGAAAGTAAAGACCAGTTTGTGGGGACTTTCTTCTCCTGTGTGGCTCAAGCTCAGATGATTTGATTTATATAAGTATGTATGTATATATGTATGTATGTATGTATGTATATATGTATGTATGTATGTATGTATGTGTGTATTATTTTTGGTAGTGCTGTGAATTGAATCCAGGCCCCAAATATGCTGGGGGGTTCTAGGCAGGTGCTCTACCACTGAGCCACACTCCCAGCCCCTGGAAGATTCTAGGCAGGTGTTCTTACTGTTTGAGACTGTGTCTTGCTAAGTTACCCTGAGTAGACTTGAACTTTTGATTCATCTATCTCAGCTTCCAAATGGCTGGAGTAGTATGCTCATTCCACTAGGCTCGGCTGGAAGATCTGAGTTTTAATCCTAACTCAACTGAGCCCTATCTCAGCCTCGGTGGACCTCAATTGTAAGTTATAGATCCATCATGGCCAAGCTTAGGAAAAAAGGCACAGAGAAATCTATAGCCATACTACCCTGCAGGGTCTGATTGCAGAAGGTAACGAAGCAGGGCCCGGTCCAGTTAAGACTTGGATGGGAGAAAGCATAGAGAGACACAGACACTGTGACATGCTTTGTAGTGGCTACCTCTCAATGGGTTGGAAACTGCCAGACTTTCCCTTCCCTCTTGCCTCCCCTGGGGCTTGGCTGCCTCAGCCAGGAAGGAAGGGGTGCTCTGTCAGCAAATCCCTGAATCCGGGCTTTTGGGGGATTTCAGGAGGCCCTGCTGGGTGGGGAGGTAGGTCCTGGCAGGGAAAGAAGTGAGGGGCAGTTCTTAGGGGGGTCTCCTGTAGGGCAGACTTCCTGGGCGTGCCTACCCCTGGTGACTCAGGGCTTTTGGGAAAAAGCTGGCTACACTAGGGACTCCATCTGTCCTCTGAGGATTGGCTTTAGGCTTAGATGAGGATGTTGGCCTGGGGTGAGGGATTGGGTGGGGACGGGGAAAGCTGACCTTTGTTGCCAAGGACCTAATGTCCGTTAAGTTGAACTTGGACACTTAGGGAAAAAGCCACTGGCCTCAGCTGGCCTCAGCTTTAGGAGAAGGGAGAAGAGGTGGTACTAGTGAGAGGATACATCCCCAACTTCCTTCCTTCCTTCCTTCCTTCCTTCCTTCCTTCCTTCCTTCCTTCCTTCTTTCTTTCTTTCTTTCTTTCTTTCTTTCTTTCTTCTTTCTCTTTCTCTCTTCCTCCCTCCCTCCCTCCCTCCCTCTCTTATTTCCTTCCCTTCTTCCTTCCTTCCTTCCTCTCTTTTTTAAAGACAGAGTCTTGTGTAGGTCAGGCTGGCCTAAAACTTGTTATGTGGTAAAGGATGACCTTGAACTCTGGATCCTTCTGTTTCTACCCCGCAAGTGCTGGCATTACAAGAGTGCGCTAGCATGCCTGCTTTATGAGATGCTGGGGATGAAGCCCAGGGCTTCATGCATGCTAGGCAAGTGTCCTACTAACTGAAGCACATCCCCAACCTACTCTTTTAAAAAATATTTTAATTTTATGTGTATGGGTGTTTTGCCTGCAGACCAATGCATGTCTAGTGCCCTTAGAGGACAAAAGAGTTACAGATGGTGGTGAGCTGCCATGTGGTTGCTGGAAATTGAACCCAGGTGCTCTGGAAGAGCAGCCAGTGCTCTTAAGCACTGGGCCATCTCCTTAGCCACCATTCTTTGTTTTTTTAAAATAAGGTCTCATTATATAGCCCAGGCTGACCTCAAGTTTAAGATCCTTATGCCTCAGCCTTCAAAGTGCTGGGATGAAAGGCCTGTACCACCCCACCCGGTTCATGTGATCTCAGCCTTCTCGTTCTCACCTGTGCCGGGGAGCACTCCGCCAGGGTACACACCTGGAAGGCCAACCCCTGGAGGCAGAAGGAGAAGCACTGAGCAGAGGTTCCGGCGCCACACCAGATAGCCCGCCAGCTCTCCCCACCCACAAGCCAGCGCGCCCACAGGGGTAGCTGGGGCCAGACACAGCCTGGCTGCGGCCCTCCTCGCTCTGGGTTAGACCTCGGGGCCTTGATTTAGCTGTCTTCTGGAGCCCACGCCTGTTTACGCAGCCCAGTCAGCCCACCTCAAGTCCTTCCAGATGCTCGCCTTTGATTCAACCTGAAGTCACTTCCTAAAGAGCACGGGCCAAATGAGCACCAGATGGGCTGCTGAGGGGTGTTGGCTGGCCTCCAGCTCTACCAGGAACAGCTGTGGGCCCTTCTGTCCTGACTCAATGGTTAAAGCCTCAGTTTCCCCATCTGTGATCCAGAGCCTGAGGGTCTTTTTTTTTTTTTTTTTCTTTTTTTCCTCCAAGAGCATAGAAATTTCTAGAACTCATATCGAGTCATTCAGCCCCATTGCCCAAACACAGGCCTGATGCTTTGGATTGGTTACAGAGACTTCCCTTCATCCTCCAGTGTTGGAGTAGGAGAGGGCTCTGACCTCTGCAGACTCCTAGACTTCTGACCTCTCCCTGACCTCTAACCTCTATCCCCCACAGTGTCTGTACTGACCAGGAACTTTTCCAGGCTTTGCTCCGGCTCCGACTCCAGCTCCAACCTGAGGAACCACAGCACCTGAACAGAACGGATGACAGAGCTGACTCGGCCCAGGCCTGCTGGCACCACTTTGATTCACTCAGGTCTGGCCACCATACCTGTTGATACTCCTAGGCCACCAATGCCACCAATACCACCAACACCACCAGGGACTCCACCAACTCCGACACCACCAGGGACTCCACCAACTCCGACACCACCAGGGACTCCGCCGACTCCGACACCACCAGGGACTCCGCCGACTCCGACACCACCAGGGACTCCGCCGACTCCGACACCACCAGGAACTCCCCCGACTCCACCAAGCCCGGCTCCTACAGAGCAAGAAGCAGGACAGTTCAGGGGTCAGAAAAGGACTGCGTCTTGGGGGCCAGGTGTTAAGGTTTGGTTCTTTCACCAAGCCACTCAGGACTGTGTACAGTTGGCTGCCCTCACCACCTTCCTACCTCTCACTTCTGTCTCCTATGTCTGGGTGTCTGGGAAAGCCAGAGGGCTAATGGAGGTACCCTAAAGGTGCCACTCACCAGCTTTGGCAGCAGCTTTATAAGCGGCAGCAGCCCCTGCTGCTCCTCCGGGCACCAGAGCACCTGCCCCTGGGTAGGCACCTCCAGGAAAGGCTCCGAGACCTGTGGAGGAGAGCAAATGTGAGGCCCTGAAATGCCATGCTTGGTGGAAGTTGCTGACCTCAGGCCAGTCAGAACCTCTTCCCTCAGGAAGGGGATTCACAATTCTGTGTCCTCTGAAGGTCAGTGTCCCATGGTGGCCCCTGCTCACAGGACGGGATGCATGTGTTAGAACAGCGGTTTCAACCTGTGGGTCATGACCCCTTGGGGGGTTGAACAACCCTTTCATTACTATTCATAACAGTAGCAAAATTATAGTTCTGAAGTGGCAACGAAAATAATGTTATGGTTGGGGGTCACCACAGCATGAGGAGCTGTACTAAAGGGTCTCAGCTCTGGGAAGGCTGAGAACTGCCGTGTTAGGGGATATATATGTTCAGCCGCTCAGCTCAGCCCAACAAAGCGGTGTGAATCTTTCAGTTTTGGAGACAGAGTCTGGCTACATATGTAGTCTAGGCTGGCCTGCAAATCATCATGTAGCTGAGGCTAACCTTGAACTACTGGCACTTCTACCTACCAACTGTTGGGTTCACAGGAGGGAAGCCAGAGCAGGAAAGCTGTCTCAAATGTATATGCATTTGACACAAGGTCTCACTGTATAACTCTAGCTGGACTGGAACTTGCCATTCAGGCCAGGTGGGCCTTGAACTCATAGAGAACTTCCTGCCTCTGTCTCCTGTGTGTTAAGATTAAAGGTGTCTACTACCATGCCCAGCCTCAATATATATATATTTTTTATATATTTATATATATAAATTATATATATATATATATATATATATATAATTTTTTTGAGACAAGATCTGTGTGGCCAGGTTGGCCATGAACCTCATACCCCAAATACTGGTATTCCAGGCATGTACCACCACCATTCATGGTTTCCAGATGACCCGTATGCCCTTTTTGTGGTGGATAGATCAACCCAGGGCCCCTGGAGATGCCTCTATTTTACAGCTGTCCCCAGGTAGCTTCTTAGGAGAGGTGACATTGGCGTCATCCTTCATCCATGTCCTTGCCAACGCTCAGCTCAGACTCTGTGCCCTGGCTGCCGTTTATCCCGGGCAGATGCTCTAGGGTGGGGTGGGGAGCTGGCATCTCCCTCACGTGTCACACTAACCTGCCCCAGGGCCAGCACCTGCAAGTCCTCCAGGGCCTGTGAAGAAGAGAGACGGAGAGAATTAGGCATGTGGGTTTCATGCCTGGGCTCCTTGTGAGAAGGGTGTCATCCTGAAGTGGGTGTCTAGGCTGGTCCCTAGACCTCGGGTACTGTGGGCATGTGATCCTGATAAATCTGCAGCCGTCAGTCAGTGATACAGAGCTGACAGAGCTGATTGTCTCTAACAAGTGTGATTAGCTGTGTGTCTCCCCCAGCAGGCTGTCTATAATGGCAGACCGGGGCTGGAAGTAAACCCTCTTCCCTCCAGGCCAGCCTTGCTCCCATTGGTAGCTGACACCCCAGGCATCTTCTCTGCTTCCTTGATGGTATGTCCTGATGCAGACCCCGCCCCTCCACCTGGATGTGAGTGTGCCCCTCCCACCCCTGCTCCCTCCCATCTTTTTGTTTTTGAGACAGGGTCTCATGTAGCCAGGCTTGCTATGTATCAGAGGGTGACCTTGAACTTCTGATCCTCTTGCCTCTAGCCCCTAAATGCTGGGATTTCTGGCAGTTACCAGAAAGTCCAGTTTACATGGTACCGGGGTGGGATGGGGGACTAAGAGCTCCATGCATACTCGGTAAGGGCTGTATGAACTGCCTTCCCCGCCCTGGGAGTCCTTCCCGTACAACATCTAGTCATGCTTCTGTCCAGAATCCTCCCATGAGGAGCCAAATGGGTCCCTCTGGCTCTCTCCTTTCCACATCTGGGCCCCATCATTTCTTCTTCCCCTCCAGGAGACATTCCATGGCCTTATCCTTGACCGATGGGGCTAGTTAGGTTGGAGTTTTGGAGGTTTGCCCCGGCAGGTTTGTTTCCAATTATGGGAAAAAAAAATCTCTCTTGCCAGTGCCAGCTCTGGCTGTGGGGTCTAGAGTTGTAGGGCAAAGTCCTCTCAGGGATTCCCCCAGGCATAGGGTCTGCGGAATCCTGGGGAGGGTCTTCCTGGCTCTCACTGGATGTCATATTTCCTCTGACCAGCCTTTTCCACTCATCCTCTGGGTGAGGGCTGAGCTTGTAGCTCAGGAGATACAGTGATTGCCAGGAGCGTGTAGAAGCCCAGGTTCCATCTCCAGTACCGTAATACATCCATTTACATACATGTATGTATTTCTATACTGCAGACATCTGTCTGATGGGTCTGTAATGAGCCATGTAGTATGGTATGGTGGTGGGCAGGAGGCTGAGGCAGCCTGGATTAATCATTTTCTGGTCTCACCTCCCTGACCCTCCCCAGATCTGTCAACAGCTTCTTTCAAGCCAGTTCTGTTTCCTGTGCTTATAGAGGACAGGAGACATGTTCAGACCTTTTCTGTCCAATAGAGGGACTGAGAGGACAAGACTTGGCAGAAAGAAAAACAAACAAAACAAAAAATGGAGTGGAGTTTGGGCCCGGCCTGGTCTCTGCTGCCGCCTGTTCGTTATCGACAATCTTACCTAGTTTATTCTCATCACTGCCAAACCCCCCCCCCTTCCCCCCACCCCCCCCCACCCCCCCCCCCCCCCCCGTCACCTGTCCTTTGGACTTACCTGCTCCGAATGCCCCCAGAAGCCCAGCACCTGGAGAGGGAGTGAAAGGGTTAGAGTGGTGCCACAGCTGGGGGGTCCAGGCCCTTTCAGCCTACCTGCTGCTTTTTGTAGTCAGAAAGTTCTAGTCAGGTTCTGTAGCCCCTTTCCATGGTCTATGTAGATGAGGGAGTCACCTTCCTTTCTTTGAGCCTCAGTTTCCCCATCTTTGTTATTCTTTTTTTAAATGATAACTTAGATTTTTTTATCTATATCTGTCTTTTTATCTATATCTATATTTTATGTATATCTATCTCTCTATTTATCTATCTGTCTATCTAGTTTTCAAGAAAGGGTTTCTCTGTTCAGCCCTGGCTGTCCTGGAACTCACACTGCAGACCAGGCTGGCCTTGAACTCAGAGATCTACCTGCCTCTGCCTCTGCCTCTGCCTCTGCTGGGATTAAAGGTGTGCCACCACTGCCTGCTATTTTTACTTTTAAAAATGATGTGTATCTGAATGTGTCTGTGTGTAGGTACGTGCACTCGAGCGTAGGTGCCCATGGTGCCAGAGGTGTCAGAGCCCCTGAGGCTGAGTTCCTGGCCAGTGTGAGCTGCCTGACGTGGGTGCTGGGAACTGAACTTGGTTCTCTGTAAGAGCATCTGTACTCTTAATCACTGGCCTACTTCTCTAGTCCCTTAAATGAGAAATTATAAAGATTTATTTATTTATATTTTATATGTATGAGTGCTTTGCCTGCATGGGTGTATGTGTGGCATGTGTGTGGGGCTGGTGGGGGCCAGGAAGGGGAGTCTAATCCCTTGGAGCTGGAGTTCCGTGTGAACCATTCTGTGAGTGCCGGGAACTGAACCCCGGTCCTGTGTGAGATCATCAAGCACTCTTAACTGCTGAGCCATCTCTCTGCTGCCTAGGCTTCTTCTTGAGACAGGGGTCCATGGAGCTCTGGGGGGCTTTAAATTCAGCATGCAGCCAGGGATGACCTTGAACTCCTGATCCTCTGGTCTCTACCTCCTGAGGTTACAGGCACATGCACCTGTGTTATGTGGTGCTGGGGTTGGAAGCCAGGGTGGAATTTGTGCATGCTGGGCAAGCGTTCTACCAACTGAGCCCAAACCCCAGCCTTATTATTATTATTATTTTTTTATTCTGAGAAAGGGTCTCACTGTGTAGCCCTGGCTGGCCTGAAATCTGCTATGTAGATCAGGTTGGCCTTAAAGTCTTGAATTTATTGACATCTTCCTGTCTCTGCTTTCCAAGTGTTACTATTAAAGCACGTGCTACCATGTCTGGCTCTTTCCTTTCCTTTCCTTTCCTTTCCTTTCCTTTCCTTTCCTTTCCTTATCTTATCTTATCTTTCTCCCTCCCTTCCTTCCTTTTCTTCCTTTCTTTGAACTTAGGATCTTTAGGCTGGCCTTGAACATACATGTAGCCCAGACTGGCCTTGAACTGGTGATTTTCATGCCTCATTTTCCACACTACTTAACTTACTCTGTAGCTCAGGTTAAGCTTGAACATATCCTCTGGCTTCAGACTCTCGAATGCTGAAGTGACAGCCTTGTGACTCTGTGCTTGGCTAATATGCCCATTTAGCTGTAGCTTCCATGATCCCTGCCTTCCTGGGACCACTGAGCAGGAAGCACCTACTGAGTGCAACCTGCCAGGGTGTCCCATGGGTACTCATCCTGGCTTCTTCCTGTCCTTGCCCGTACCCCTTCTTTGTAGTGGCTGGCCAGCCGGCTGGCCTCCAGCTGGTGCTCTGGGTGTGGGCAGTGCTGGCTCCCAGATGCCTGGTCCCCTACTGAGAGTGCAGGCAGGGAGGGGCTGGCCTGCAGCACCCACATGGAGGAACAGCTGCCAAGCCACCTACCCCATCTCCCAGGGGATTAATTGTTCCCAAACATGATCTGTATAAGGCCTGCACCCCTTCCCATCCTGCCTGGGCAGCCCCGGACATCCCTCTAGCCAGGATGTGGGGGCCTTCACTGGGTTGTTCAAGGTGGCCTAGCCAAGCCTGTTACAGGCTTCAGTCTATCCTGAGGCTAAGAGATGACCTTAGGAACTGTGCCATTAGCACATACCTATCAGTTCAGCTACTCAGAAAGCTGAGGCAGGAGGATCTAAATTTCAAGGTCTGTCTGGGCTATATAGTTCCAAGGTCAACTTGGACAACTTCCTGAGACCCTGTATCAAAATTAAAAAAAAAAAAAAAAGAATTAAGAAGTCTCAGTGGGCATAGGCACTTGCCAATAAGCCTGGCGACATGAGTTTGGTGGAAGAAGAGAATCAACACTCAAAGTTTGTTCTCTGACGTTTACAGGTACACTATGGTACATGCATTCTATAGACCACAATAGTATGATGCATGCATACTATTATACCATAGTAAACAAACAAACAAACCAATAAAGAAATGTAATTTTTGAAAAAAATGTAAAAAGGGGTCTGGGGATGTAGTTCAGAGGTAGAGTGCTTGCCTAGACGCTTGTCCATCCTTGGTACCACAAGGAGAATTAACCAGCCATGGTGTCCCCCTGGCTTTACAAAGCTTCCAACCCCGAGGCCCTCACTTGCCCAGATGCCCTGTCTTCTTCCTGCCTTGCTGGCCCTGGTCCTGAGGTTTCACAACTCCCATAGGCTTCAGTGAAGGGGAATCTGCCTCTCACACATTCATTAGTGGTTGGATCATCTGTCATCAGGATTTTGTAAGAGCAGTTGGACATCCAATCTGTCCAGGAGCATGTGACTTTGGAGCCAGGATGGCAGGAACTGGGTGGGGATACATATGCCACATAGAGAGGATCACACATTAGGGAGGGGCATCAATAGGACTGTAAGGAAGTTTGTGTGTGTGTGTGTGTGTGTGTGTGTGTGTGTGTGTGTTAGGGAGGATGGAACACAGGTGTCCAATATGCTATGCAAATGCTCTACTACTGAGCCATGCTCCTGGACACTCACAAAGGGATTGGAGGTACATGCTCTACCACTGAACTATTATACCCCAAACCTCTCACTGGGGACCTCTAGGCAGGTGCTCTACCACTGAGCCACACCCCAGCCCCTCACTGGGGGATTCTAGGCAGATGATCTACCACTGAGCCACACTCATAACCCCTTACTGGGGAATTCTATGCAAGAGCTCTACTATTGAACTGCATCCTTAGTATTTCTTCTACTTTTTATACAGAGACAGGGTCTTGTTATCTATCTGAGGCTGACCTCTCTAGTTCAGAACGCTCCTGTCTCAGCCTTTTCAGTAGCTAAGATTACAGGTGTGCAACACCAGACCATGGCCTCCACCTGCTTCTTATCCAGCCACTGCTGGTGAATCCCAACACTGTTGATTAAGACAGGGCTATGCTCTTTCTCTCTCTCTATTTTTTACTAGAAACCTCCATGGTCTAGACAGCTGAAGGAGGCTAGGAACAGCCTGGGAAATCATCTGGGGCCAGAGCCAGGGTCAGGTTTGGCTTACATCTGGGCCAGAAGTCAATGTTTAGATAGGTTTAGGGAAGTCCAGGGCTTCCATTCTAAGTGATGCTTTATAGGGGACCATGAGAACCTCAGATTCTGTCCTGCCTGAGCATCAGGATTTTCCTGGGGCTAGGAGCAAGAGGGCAATCTCCAGGAAGCTGGCACAGTGGGCCTATGCAGGACACAGGCCATTGAACTACCTTCAATCTCCTGTCCCTGGACAACTTGGGGCCCGGCCCTAACCTGTTGATACCTAGGGGCTTTTGCTGCCTGTCACTCCTTTTGGCTCCTCGGCCAGGCATGGCTCTACCTTGCCCATCTCAGGGGACTTACCTACACGGAGCTTACCTGGCTTAGGTGGTTTTCCTCCAGGTCCCAGAGCTGCAGAGGGAAGGGATGATGATGATGAATGGTAGGAGGAGGTGACTCAACTCTCCTTCTCTCTCACTCTCTTTCTCTCTCTGGTCTGAGACAGGGTCTCATCATAGCCCAGGCTGGCCTCAAATTCACAATATAGCCAAGGATGACTTCAGACTCCTAAATGTCTTCACCTCACAGGTTCTGGTATTACAGGCACATCCCCCATTCCATCTTTTAACCCCACCCCAGAGATGTCCAGAGAGGCCTCTTGCTTAGACATGGGGCCCTGAAGCCCAGCTCTCCCTCTGGAGTTTTGGTTGAGTGACAGCTTCTTCATTTGCTTTGTATTGTGACTATGTCTCATATAGCTCAGGCTGTGTAGTCAAGGACGACTTTGAACTCTTGAGCCCCAGCTTCTACCTTCTAAGGGCTGAGTTTAATAGGCATGCACCAACATCTCCAGCAATTTCTCATTTTTTTTTCTTTTTTCCCCAAAAGGAGTTAATCTCTACCTGGAAGGAATGTTGGGGAGAAAGATCAAAGAAATATAAAGGAAGGTAGGAGCCATGAGGGAAAAACCAACAAGGATAGAGGGTCCTTAAAAGGGCCACCAGGGTCTTGTTTTCAAGTAGGTTTCTTTCCCAGGGGCTGCTCAATCTGTATAGCAAGAGCCCGTAGTCGCTGAGCTCTCTTGAAGCCCTCATGGCTGATGATGGGGGGTCACGATGGTGCCCAGATCATTTTACTGAGGAACTTAAGTTTACTTCCTGTGCTTACCTCCTCCTCCTCCCAGGCCTCCGATACCTGTTGTATGTGTTGAGACAGACAGACAGACAGACAGACAGACAGACCATAGATCAGTATCCTTTCTAGACAAGACATATCCCTCTCCCTCCTGGCAAGTTCAAGCTGCAGAACTTAGGCCAAGTCAACCACGATGATCCAGTCTCCTTTTCTGTCTATTGGCTCAATAACCTCTTGTTAGTTTGTTCTAGAATGGAGCTCCAGAGATTTCAGAGGTCCTGTTAGTTCTTTTCTTTTCTTTTCTTTTCTTTTCTTTTCTTTTCTTTTCTTTTCTCTTCTCTTCTCATGTCTGTGTCTGGTATGCACATGTGTGTATGTGCATTTGTGTGCATGTGAAAGCCTAAAGCTGGGGTCTAGAATCACCCTTCATCACTCTCCCACCTTATTCTTTGAGGCAGGGTGTCTCAATCAAACCCAGAGCTCACTGATAGGGCTAGTCTCGCTAGCTAGCTCACTCAACGGTTACTGGCTTTCACCATGACGCCTGGTTTATGTGATGCTGGGTTGGAGCTCAGGCTTCATGCGTGCTAGGCGAGCGCTCCACTGTTCCAGCCCCATCTCCAGCTTAGTGGCTCTATCTCTCACTTCTCAGTTATTTGCCCCCAGTGGGTTGCCAGGAGTGGGATTAATGCTTAGAGCCTTCCAGTGACCGGAATGTGTGAGGGTGCCGGCTCCTGACAGCAGAGATTAGGCTCTGTCTTATACAATATTTATGCTCTCACTAGCTGTTCCATTAGCAGCTTTTTCTTTCTTTCTTTTTTTTCTTTTTTTACAGACGGCACTGGGTCTTGCTATGCAGTTTAAGCTTGGCTTTGAACTCTTGACTTTCTGTGTTTGCTTATGGAATGCTACTGTTACAGATGCTGCCTTCACATCTAGCTCCATTAATTACATCATTTTTTTTTTTTTTTGAGGCAGGGTCTCACACAGCCCAGGCTGGCCTAAGCTCTTTCTATAGCCAAGGGTGGCCTTGCATATCTGTCCTCTTTGCCTGTACCTCCTGAGTGCTGGGATTACAGGCACGCACCACCATACCTAGTTTGTGCAGTGCTGAGGATGAAACCTGGGATCCCACACATGCTAGGCAAACACTCTACTAACTGAAGCCACGTCCCCAGCCTGGTTAATTGCTTCAGAAAGTGGCCTGATTCGCAGGTTCTCAGTGGCAGGAACTTAAATGTCATGACATCTCTGGCCCATGAAATAGCTCAGTGGGTAAACGAACTTGCTGCCAAACGAAACAGCTTGAGTTCTATTCCTGGGGCCAACATGGTGGTAGGAAAGATCTGATTCCCAAATGTTGTCCTCTGGATCTGCTCATGGCAGTGCATACTTTTAATTCCATTGTTCTGGAGGCAGAGGCAGGCAGCTTTCTGTGATTTCCAGGCCAGCCAGGGATAGATAACATAGTGAGACTCAGTCCCAAAAAACAAAACCAAGGGGGGGGGGGTACAAATGAACAAAGAAAGAAAGGAACAGCCAAACAAAAAAGTTGTTCTCTGACCTCTACAAGCAAGCCATGAAAATAAATGTAATAAAAATGCTTAAACTATTCTGTCTCTCATGAACAATCCATCCCCACCTGTCAAACATAGCTGTGTGGAAACATGAGGCAATTACCTGGATAATAGACCCCGCCGGGAACTCCACCGGGAACTCCACCAGGCACGGCTCCCGGAACCCCTAAAGGAAGGAGACTCTTCATTGGTTAGGCTTATCAAATATGTTTTAATGAAGGTATAGATAACAATCATGGTATTGTTTGTCTGCAGATCAATGTCTGAGGCCAGACATCTTCCATTTACATTTTTTTTTTGTTTCTTTTGTGGCTCTACCACTGAGCCACACCCCCAGCCCCTCACTGGGGAAGTCTAGAAAGACATTCTACCACTGAATCATGCCCCAGTTCTAGGTTTATTAAGACAAGTTCTCACTATGTAGTTCTGGCTGGTCTTGACCTTGTAAGCTCCCCCCTCCACTTGCCTCCTGAGCAGCTGGGACCCTGGGCATGAACCACCACACCTGGCTTTGCATTTTCTCATTCTTTTCAAAGTGTCTCAGTGAAGTTGAAGGGGCAAAAAATTCTGAAAATGTAGTTTCAGCAGACTTGAAATCAGGCCCAGAGAGGTTAAGAAAGTGGCTGAGGCCACACAGCTGGATAAACAGCAAGCCTGGAATGAACCCCGGGGCCACTTCTCTGAGTAGAAGGCTTAACACTGTTGGGAGGAGGTACTGGGCAAGGGACTCTGCCTACGGGCTCTGCCCACTGACTTCACTCAGAGCTGGGCAGCACGGCTGGAGTGGGTTCTAAGAGGGCAGGCTGAGTGGTGACACCAGTTAGGAGATGCAGCTGCTGCCTTCACGTCAGCCATTTTCACTCTGATAGGATAGTGTGAGGCCAGTGTTCTCTAGCCCCTGCTCAGCTCTCTTTGGGTGGGGTTCTGGTCATCTGACCCAGGGCTGTTTTGGGAGGAGGTGCCAGGGACTGAAGGGGGTGGGAACCTCATGAATGAGCAAATCAAATAGTTTCCTAAGGAACAGTTAATTCTAAGCCAAGGTCATGAGTTCAGTCCCCAGGGACCAGCCAAAGCTCTCATTGGAGAATATTAGAGATGCTGGTCCTGGAGCTGTTGTCATGGCAACAAATAGAGACTCCTGTACCGTCATAACCTGTAACCTTGACTAGACACCAAGTCATCTTGTCACTATGGCCCAGCTCTGCCTTGCTGAAGGAAACCTGAGAGTCACATGTTGGGGAGACACAAGGTGGGTGCCAGGCAGTCATGCAGCTTTGCAGTGGGTCCAAGGAGACCTCTCAGCCAGATGTCTGTGTGTCTGGCCTTGGTGACAGTACACAGCTGGGCCTGCCCGGTTGCTGAGCCTTGTCAGCCCAGAAGGGTTGGGAATGTCTGGCTGCCATGGGCAGATTGTGCTAGAGCCCTGGCGCCACCGCCCCCCCTGGGGTCTGTGGCCCTCTTCTCCCAACCCTCTAGAGACTGCAAGTGGGCCTTGCAGATTGGTCTGAGCAGTCTGTTTAAAGCTTGGGGGCTGGGGAGGGGTGAGCCTGCAGGAAGTAAGCCTTCTGGCGTTATCCTAAGCTGCCAAACACTCATGGCTCCCCCAAGCTTTGATGGGGGGCTGGGGAGGGGTAAGCCTGCAGGAAGGAAGCCTTCTAGCGTTATCCGAAGCTGCCAAACACACATGGCTCCTCCAAGCTTTGATGCCCTTTTTGGCTCTGGAGAGGATCTCTGCCTTCTCCATTCTGCACTTTCTCCACAGCCTTCCCACTCTCTGTTCTCCAGCCCAAGAGCTGCTTGTGCGAACAACCTGGTGGGCGGGAGTGGCAAGGGGACTCAGGACAGAGCTATCTGGCTTCTCGCCCTGCCCCTCACCAGCTGTGTGATTCCAGGCAAGTAACTCAACCTCCCCTGCGCTGCCATCACAGGCCTGTGCCACCAGGTTTGTTCCAGTGCTGGGAATAAAACCCAGGGCTCCATGCAGGCTAGGTGATGCACTCTGCCAACCACATCCCCAGCCAGCTCTTGCTCCCCTTCCGCTCCCCCTTCCTGCAATATAGGTATGATGTCTGCTGCCTCCTCTAGTTCCAAGCATTCAATCCAAAGAGGACAGATCCTAGTCATACCCAGCAGAGAGTAATTGTTAAAATGATGGTGATCTCTGGTCCCTTGTTTTCCCTTAGTAAATGGCTAGGGCCATGTACACAGTAGGTACTCAATAAATGATGAGGGAAGCAGACAGAGGGATTGTGTCTGACCTCTGGGGGTGGGCTTGCTGAGCCCTGGGCTGACAGAACCCCACTTCCTCTCTCTTGGAGTCCTGTTCTCCGGCACCCCACCTCTGACTAGGCTCTTTCCTCAAGAAGCAGTTTCTTCCCAGCTCTCCTCTCTGCTCTCTGTGACCATGCTTCAAAGCCCACTAACACTGAGCCACCTCCACACCCAACCCAGGACACACCGGATAGCTGGAATGCTGTTTGTTTAGAGACAGGATCTTACTGTGTAGCCCAAGCTGGTTTTGAACATGAGAGTATCCAGGCTCAGCCGCTAGAGTGTGTGCCATGCCTGACTTGAGCTTTTGATTCACGGGGGAAAATGGAAAAGGCTGAGTAGCTGCCATTATCTTGGCTGCCAAGCGTGAGACTGGAGTGCAGTCCCCGGAACCTACATGGCTGAGGGGAAGGGCTGACTCCCCTCATTGTCCTCTGACCCCCCACCATGGTCTGAGAACAATAAATATAATAAGAGACTCTGTGGACGGGACATGTTGACACACACCTGTAATCCCTGTTCTCAGAGGTGGAGACAGGGGGATTGTGAGTTTGAGGCCATGCTGCACTTCACAGGGAGTTCAAGGCCAGGCTGGGCGACATGTAGGGATTTCAAGGCTTTCCTGGGCTACACAGGGAGCTTCAGGCTAGCCTGTGCAACATAGCAAGCCTCTTGTCTCAAAACCATACAGTACTCATGGAGGCCTTTCCCCAGGGGCCTTCCTTCCCACCCTTTCTCCTAGGTACCAGCAGGTCTCCTACCAAGAACACCCTCACCTCCCCCAAGCCCTCCCCTGCTCCAAGGCGGTGCTGGAAGCTTCCGCCCCGCCTTCTCTGAGGCTGCCTGCTCAGCCGGCCGCAGGCAGCTGGCTTGGAGCACACTTGTGTCTTGTTTTATGTGGGTCTGGCTTGTTCCTCCTGCTAGCCTGGGGCGAATCTCGTCTCTCACATATGAGAATCATGACCTCAGACTCCCAGGGATCAGAACAGTCCTCCGGCCTGGGCTAGCACCCCTGAAAACACCCCTAGTTCTCCGCTTGTAAACTCTCTGGAATGGAAGCCGCATCAGCCCTCATTTCGTCTGTGTGGTCTCCACAGGGCTTCCTCCTGGGCGGCAGCCTGCTTCTCAGTCTCTCAGATTGTTTTTTCTGTTTTGTCTTCCTCTCTTTCCCCCCTCCCCTCCCCTCTCCTAACTCTCCTCCTTTCCCATCCTCTTCTCTTCCTTTCCAAAACAGGCATCTTTCTTTGTAACCCAGGCTAGCCTTGACTCTTCTATGTAGCTCAAGTTGGATTTGGGCTTACGTCCCTGTCTCAGATCTCAAGTCCTGGGAATTATAGCCCTGTATCCCTGTGTCCAATTGAACTTAACTTTTCTCTCAAGAGGCCCCTCAGATATACTCAGATCCTCTGGAGTACCCTCCCTGAGTCCTCTCCACATCTGTCACCCGTTTATACAGAAACCACCTCTGACACGGAGAATCAAACCTTAGAAGTTGGGCTAGGGAGGTCAGGAGTAGTGATGTGCACTGATAATCCCAGTACTTGGGAGGCAGAAGCAGGAGGATTGTTGCAAGTGGACTCAGAGGCCAATACGTCCTACATACCAAGTTTCAGGCCAGCCAGAGCTATATATTTGAGACCCTGAAATAAAAGTGTGTTTTAATCTTAGAAAACCAGAGCCAGGTTCAGTGGCTCACAGCTGCCATCCCAGCACTCAGGAAGGAGAAGCAGGAGGATCAGGAGTTCAAGGTCAGCCTCATCCACTTAGTGAGTTCAAGACCAGCTTGGGCTATATGAGACCCTGTCTCAAACAAAACAGAACAAACACACAAACAAACAAACAAGAAAAGAAAAAGAAAAACCCACCTCAGGGGTTGGGCATATAGCTCAGAAGTAGCATGCTTGCTTAGCGTAGACATGGTTCAATGAAAAAAAAAAAAACCTTAGAAAACTAAAGGTAGAACTAATTACAAGGGCTATCAGCCCCTCGGCAAACATCAAGAGACCATGCCACCGTACAACTTGCTGTCCCATGACCATCTCGGTGGACATATTTTAAATATTATATTATCATTCCAGTGTTAGCTATCAGGTGGCTACTGCTCCCCTTGCCCCCAAGGCCTGCTGATTCTCAGGGTCTGGGCACTGAAAACGGCTGTTTCTTCCATTTTGCAGCCAGGGAAACCTAGAGTCAGCCAGATGACAGAGCTTGGCCTGGTATCTACATTTGACCTTGGGTTTGCTGCCAGGAGGTTCAAAGACCATAGGGAGCAGGGCCAAAGGGCCCTGGCATGGGGCTCTGCCAAGCCCAAGTCCAGTGGGGCAGCCTGAGTTGAGCAGATAAAACCTCATCGAGCTGTTTGTTGTGTGTGCAGAGCAGACTGCCAAGCGCTTTTCAAAAGCCGACTGTGCTCCCGTGGCTCGGGTGAACTGTCCCTTGCTCCAGCAAGACACACAGAGCTGGATCAAGGGACTAATCCTTGGCTGTGCATCAGAGTCCCCTGAGGAGCTGTTAAAACCCAACTCCCTCGAGTGAGATCCTCCACAGATCAAATAGAGGAAGAATTCTTGGTTCACAGCATAGACCCATGTCAGCCCCTCAGGGCTGAAGTCTCCTGAGATTCAGTGTGAATGAGGGGAGGGTACTGATACCATTTCTGGTGTCAGGGAGAGCACTGAACTGAGTCTCATGTCTAATGTACCTCTCAACACATACTTCATGTAGCCCAGCTTAGCCCAGAGTTCACTATATAGATGATGACCTTGAACTCCTGACCCCCCTGTTTCCACCTCTCGAAAACGATGAGACAGACAAAAAACAGGCACGCTCCCATGCCAGATTTACTTTTCTTTTGTGACCTTTTAGCTTAATTTGGCTTTGGGGGTGTAGTCTCAC